ACCCCCTCTGTCTACATCATATTGATGTTATAGTTCACTAACCCCGTTTGTCTACATCACATTGATACTATAGGTCAATTACCCCATCTGTCTATATCACATTGATACTATAGGTCACTTACCCTGTCTGTCTGCATCACATTGATACTATAGGTCAATTACCTCGTCTGTCTACAGCACATTGATACTATAGGTCAATTACCCCATGTCTATATCACATTGATACTATAGGTCACTTACCCCGTCTGTCTGCATCACATTGATACTATAGGTCACTTACCCCCTCTGTCTACATTATATTGATGTTATAGTTCACTAACCCGATCTGTCTGTATCACATTGATACTATAGGTCACTTACCCCCTCTGTCTACATCATATTGATGTTATAGTTCACTAACCCCATCTGTCTGTATCACATTGATGTTATAGTTCACTAACCCCATCTGTCTGTATCACATTGATACTATATGTCACTTACCCCCTCTCTCTACATCATATTGATGTTATAGTTCACTAACCCCATCTGTCTGTATCACATTGATGTTATAGTTCACTTACCCCATCTGTCTGTATCACATCGATGTTATAGGTCACTTACCCAGTCTGTCTGTATCACATTGATACTATAGGTCACTTACCCCCTCTGTCTACATCATATTGATTTTATAGTTCCCTAGCCCCATCTGTCTATATCACATTGATACTATAGGTCTCTTACCCCGTCTGTCTGCATCACATTGATACTATAGGTCACTTACCCCGACTGTCTACATTATATTGATGTTATAGTTCACTTACCCCATCTGTCTACATCATATTGATGTTATAGTTCACTAACCTCATCTGTCTGTATCACATTGATACTATAGGTCAATTACCCCGTCCGTCTGTATCACATTGATACTATAGGTCACTTACCCCGTCTGTCTACAGCACATTAATACTATAGGTCACTTACCCCGTCTGTCTACATCACATTGATACTATATGTCACTTACCCCATCTGTCTACATCATCACATTGATACTATAGGTCAATTACTCCATCTGTCTACATCACATTGATGTTATAGGTCACTTACCCCATCTGTCTACATCACATTGATACTCTAGGTCACTTACCCCATCTGTCTACATCACATTGATACTATAGGTCACTTACCCCATCTGTCTATATCACATTGATACTATAGGTCACTAACCCTGTCTGTCTACATCACATTGATACTATAGTTCACTTACCCCATCTGTCTACATCACATTGATACTATATGTCACTTACCCCGTCTGTCTACAGCACATTGATACTATAGGTCAATTACCCCATCTGTCTGTATCACATTGATACTATAGGTCACTTACCCCGTCTGTCTACATCACATTGATACTATAGGTCACTTACCCCGTCTGTCTACATCACATTGATGGTATAGGTCACTTACCCCATCTGTCTGCATCACATTGATACTATAGGTCACTTACCCCGTCTGTCTGTATCACATTGATACTATAGGTCACTGACCCCCTCTGTCTACATCATATTGATGTTATAGTTCACTAACCCCGTTTGTCTACATCACATTGATACTATAGTTCACTTACCCCGTCTGTCTACATCACATTCATGTGATAGGTCACTTACCCCGTCTGTCTGTATCACATTGATACTATAGGTCACTCACCCCGTCTGTCTACATCACATTGATACTATAGGTCACTTACCCCGTCTGTCTACATCACATTGATGTTATAGTTCATTTATCCCATCTGTCTATATCACATTGATACTATATATAGGTCACTAACCCCGTCTGTCTACATCACATTGATACTATAGGTCACTTACCCCATCTGTCTACATCACATTGATACTATAGGTCACTAATCCCATCTGTCTACATAACATTGATATTATAGGTCACTTACCCCGTCTGTCTACATCACATTGATGTTATAGGTCACTTACCCCATCTGCATCATATTGATGTTATAGGTCACTTACCCCATCTGCATCATATTGATGTTATAGGTCACTTACCCCATCTGTCTACATCATATTGATGTTATAGTTCACTAACCTCATCTGTCTGTATCACATTGATACTATAGGGCACTTACCCCCTCTGTCTACATCATATTGATGTTATAGGTCACTACCCCATTTGTCTACATCATATTGATACTATAGGTCACTTACCCCATCTGTCTATATCATATTGATACTATAGGTCACTTACCCCATCTGTCTATATCATATTGATACTATAGGTCACTTACCCCATCTGACTACATCACATTGATACTATAGGTCACTTACCCCATCTGTCTATATCACATTGATGTTATAGGTCACTTACCCCATCTGTCTATGTCACATTGATACTATATGTCACTTACCCCATCTGTCTATATCACATTGATGTAAAAGGTCATTTACCCCGTCTGTCTATATCACATTGATGTTATAGGTCACTTACCCCATCTGTATACATCACATTGATACTATAGGTCACTAATCCCGTCTGTCTACATCACATTGATGTTATAGGTCACTTACCCCCTCTGTCTATGTCACATTGATACTATATGTCACTTACCCCACCTGTCTATATCACATTGATGTTAAAGGTCATTTACCCCATCTGTCTATATCACATTGATACTATAGGTCACTAACCCCGTCTGTCTACATCACATTGATACTATAGGTCACTTACCCGATCTGTATATTTCCCATTGATGTTATAGGTCACTTACCCCATCTGTATATATCACATTGATACTATAGGTCACTTACCCCGTCTGTCTGCATGACATTGATACTATAGGTCACTTACCCTATCTGTATATTTCCCATTGATGTTATATGTCACTTACCCCATCTGTATATATCTCATTGATACTATAGGTCCCTTACCCCGTCTGTCTACAGCACATTGATACTATAGGCCAATTACCCCATCTGTCTGTATCACATTGATACTATAGGTCACTAACCCCGTCTGCCTACAGCACATTGATACTATAGGTCACTTACCCCGTCTGTCTACATCACATTGATACTATAGGTCACTTACCCCATTTGTCTGCATCACATTGATTACCCAAGATAATATGTATGAACATGATGCATACTGTAAAAATTATTGATGTGTTTGTTTTTAAATAAAGCTGGTTTGATGCGCTTCTTTCGGGTTTTTTTTTTATAAAATACTGATAAACATGTAGATATTATTTTAAAGTTAGACTTGATGATATACACTGTTTCTTTCATGAGATATATATATTTATTTTACAAAAAAAATGGTTCAGCACTAGGATAACGCTTGTGCTTGTCTGGTTATGGCTTTATAAGGGAGATAACTTTGTCTGTAATGTACATCTTGACTTCTTATTAAACTAAGTAAGCTTTACCTAGCCTGTTTGTTGGGAGATGAGTGTCTGTCATACAGCGTGCCAGAACCGATTGGCAATGTTCTGAGAGCCGATCACACCTGTTAGACTCTGTCTATATCTGAAGTATCAAATTTCACTCTAAATATCGGCTGTAATAATTTGAGATATCGAGACTTTGCCCGCTGTTAGCAACCCCGTTTCTCTCGCTAAGAAAGAATTGCAGGTACCTTAATTTTCTTTCATAAATAAAAGGTCTCTTAGATTAACATTCTTGAAGTCGTTTAATAGTTTCCCTGTCATTTGCTGCATAAACTCGCAGCTTACATACCTAACCTAAAACGAACCGTGCCCAAATCTGTAAAAAACATTTCTTAAATGCAAGGTAAATCTCTGTCAGAGTGTGTTTGTCATCATATATCTGCGGATTCATGTTATGTAATACAATTGCGTATGGTAACATTGATTTTACGATATTGATTTCAAAAAATTATATCTCAAACTAATAAATAGTTGATGTTTCAGGGTGGGTAACACCACGCCCATCCCATAAAGCATATACGGTACTGTAAGTGTGTGTATGTGTGCGCCAGTATTCAATGGCCGTGTGTATACTATATACTGGGGTGCTGTGTGTGCTCATTTAAAGGTCCACACAGACACATACAACAAAGATCGATATCTTCCCGGGTGTACTCGGCTTTTCTTTATAACAATCCCATCAAGTTTGGACAGGCTACTGTACGGCTATGTTCTAGTGGCATTATCAGAGACTGCCGGGAAGGTAAACAGACATGGACATCGGTCGGCGGTTGTAGGACTGACATACACAACTCGCGGATATTTCCGGGCTCCAGATAGGTATATTCCGGCCTGAGACACGGTGGGATTTCGGCCGGGAGTATTTTAAATGGGATTAGCGCGGATTACCTCTTAACGTTTTGCTTCGCTGTGAGATTTCATTGAAAGTTGACAAGTGGATATTAACACTGAAGTGTATCACTGTTGAATTTAACATTCATAGAGCCACAGAACGGTGTATGCAGAGTATAGCGTTAGTATACCTGTGTTACCGACTCTCCCGATAACGTGTGCCCCATACCTGTACCAGTAGCATAGCGAAATGAGGTGACCTCTGGATACCACAGACATGGATTTCTCTAAGTTCCGGGAGTCCGGGGATCTATCGGACATCGTCGTTATCCTGGGAGGCACGGAGTTCCCTCTACACAGGTTTCCGCTGTATGCCAAATCTGAATACTTTGTCAAGGTCAGTCGTACCTCCCCGGCTGACAGCAACAAAGTGGAACTGCTCGACTTCCCCGGAGGTGCGGACATATTCGGAATTGTGGCGGACTTTTGCTACAATATGAAGATTGACATGACCAAGAACAATATTGTGCAGATTCGTTGTGCCGCTGAGTATCTTCAGATGACGGGGACTGGAAATCTTATAGAGATAAGCGACAAATTCCTGCAAGACACCATCACTTCCGGTAAGCTCAGCCGTTCCACGGGTGCCATAACGTCTCTGCTACTTTATTGTGTTACAATCGGTCCGCTAGCGGAAGTGGCTGGGATCGTAGAGGCGTGTTCGGATGCTATGGTGGAGTCGTGGCTCAAACCTCCCACAAAGTTCACAGATCCTAGTAACCTGAAAAAGCAGGGAAGCTCAGTTGATAAACGTGATGACAAGACACTGAAGGGTCTTTGTAATCTTCCTCTTGAGTGGTTCGTCAAGCTGATGACTTCAGCTAGAGAGTGTGGAGTGCGACCGGGTCTCCTTGCCGACATGGCCACCCGTTACATCAGTCTGGTCTTGGATAGAGATGACAGTGAAAAGAGTATGCAAGATGCTGGTTCGAAGCCTGGGAAGGAAAGTGCTGAAAAGTCGACAAGTAAGATAGATGCGGTCAAGGGCACGAAAAAAATAGACGCTGGGCACGTTCTAGATGCTGTTATAATGGAACTTCCGGAAGAAGCGTTTTCTGATGAAGTAATGACTATTGACTGGATTACAAGAACTTTTAAATTGGCGACATTGCGTGGTTGTCGTTGTAGGCGACCTTTAGTGAAAGCGGCGGGAGAAATAATGAATAAACTTGCACCGGATGACCTGTGTATTATATCGCCTTCTCTGTTACGTGACATTGTGCAGGAGTCGTGTAACGACGAGGGAGAGGCCGAAAGGGCCTGCAGGATTATAGACACATACATGGCGGAGATGGTGAGGAAAGGTGTGCTGACGGGCGAAACGTTCCGGCTATTGGCATCTGCCGCTCCAGACGAGGCTCGCAAGAGTCATGATCAGCTTTATGGCATACTTGAGTATGTTCTCACGGCAGGTAAATATGTTAGCATGGTACAATACCATGTATTAAAATGGAATACAGTCCTGCTATACCCAGTGCGTCAAGCGCTTCCTATGACAGCATTGCTCCACTTCCGGTTCTGTGTCTTTTCTCGCCTTTGTGAAACTTCCGGTTCACAGTGATGTAGCTTAATCCGATCACGACACAGAAGAACTTTTTTTTTATTACAATGATCAGGATTTTGACGGCGTTTGTAGTCCGTCACGATTCTAACAACACGCATATATACTATCGATAGCAAATGCTATCGTGTCGATTGATTTAACGCACGTGACTCGGACGGTATTTACTCGTGGTATTGTAACAGGAAATGTGATGTCCTCTAAGCAATGTTATAACATTTTTTATTTTGGCATGGGACACCTTAATGCATGTTAATTGATCTGTGTATATGTCCTTCACAAACATAACGCTACAACGTTACAGATGTATAACTCGGTGTATACAGGTACGGTCGGTAACGGGTCTGTTTACTCCCAAAAGCCAATTATACTGCTGGCCGTTATAGTCTAAAATGTCAATGTGTAAATTATCATTAAGAGCTTTAAAATGTAGACGATTTGGTCTGAGGTTTCGAAAATCCCTTCACGTATTTATCTAATACTGTATCATCTATAGCTTAACAAACACCCGTGTTACAATAACTCATCTGTCGGGAAATATAAACGACGAAGCCGGAGAAACTTCAATCTGAAATCGATTGGATCCCTGTTTGTTGATGCAGGATCTGGTTAAGTATGTACCAATGCACGTTTAATATATTGATTAAAACATAATGAATAACGAACATATTACTTTATATATCGGGTCGTATTTGAAATTTACTTTATCTGCTTGAGTGTCGTGAAAACTGCGCATAATCCTCAATGTCCGCGAAACTCGCGAAAATTAGAAATAAAAAGCCCATATCCTGAAACACATCAAATAAAAATCCAAACAGTCGTACAGGGTGCTGGAGTGCAGCAGCACTGGGTTTGAGACATGACGATCACGAGTTTGTCTTCTACTTTACGTGATCATATCGAGCTGTTATCTCTCCTGATGATCATGGATCCAACCTCACGGGATCCATGCAGGGATCCATGCATGGCCCAATCTAGATCAAATCATATGTTATTAGGCTCAAATCCCGTCCGGTCAGGTGGGGTTCTATTCTCGCGTGATAATCTCAGACCTTAATGTTGGGCTCTAATTCGTAAAATTAAGGCGGCATCTAGTATATTGTGCTCATCCTGTGTGGGCTACATATTTGTGGTATGAAAGTGATAAGGTAGTGGACTACAAAAGTATATATCTACGTTACATTAGTATATATACGGTACTGGGTTATATTGGTATAGATACGGTACTGGGTTACATTGGTATAGATACGGTACTGGGTTACATTTGGATAAATTCGGTACTGGGTTGTATTGGTATATATACGGTACTGGGTTACATTTGTATAGATACGGTACTGGGTTACATTTGTATAAATACGGTCCTGGGTAACATTTGTATAAATACGGTACCGGGTTACATTGGTATATATATGGTACTGTGTTACTTGGTATATATACAGTATTGGGTTACATTGGTATATATACGGTACTGGGTTACATTGGTATAGATACAGTATTGGGTTACATTGGTATATATACGGTACTGGGTTACATTGGTATAGATACAGTACTGGGTTACAATGGTATATATACGGTCCTGGGTTACATTGGTATAGACACAGTACTTGTTACATTGGTATACATACGGTACTGGGTTACATTGGTATAGCTACGGTACTGGGTTACATTGGTATATATACAGTACTGGGTAACATTGGTATATATACGGTACTGGGTTACATTGGTAGATATAGTACTGGGTTACATTGATATATATATATATATATACGGTCCTGGGTTACATTGGTATATATACGGTCCTGGGTTAAATTGGTATAGATACAGTACTGGGTTACATTGGTATATATACGGTACAGGGTTACATTGGTATAGATACGGTACTGGGTTACATTGGTATACATACGGTACTGGGTTGCATTGGTATAGCTACGGTACTGGGTTACATTGGTATATATACAGTACTGGGTTACATTGGTATATATACGGTACTGGGTAACATTGGTATATATACGATACTGGGTTGCATTGGTATAGATACAATACTGGGTTACATTGGTATATATACGGTACTGGGTTACATTGGTATAGATACAGTACTGGGTTTCATTGGTATATATACAGTACTGGGTTACATTGATATATATACGGTACTGGGTTACATTGGTATAGATACGGTACTGGGTAACATTGGTATAGATACGGTACTGGGTTACATTGGTAAAGATACAGTACTGGGTTACATTGGTATAGATACAGTACTGGGTTTCATTGGTATATATACAGTACTGGGTTACATTGGTATATATACGATACTGGGTTATATTGGTATATATACAGTACTTGGTTGCATTTGTATATAAACAGTACTGGGTTACATTGGTATATATACAGTATTGGGTTACATTGGTATATAGATGGTACTGGGTTACATTGGTATAGATACGGTACTGGGTTACATTGGTATACATACGGTACTGGGTTACATTGGTATAGATAGAGTACTTGGTTACATTGGTATAGATACAGTCCTGGGTTACATTGGTATATATACAGTACTGGGTTACATTGATATATATACGGTACTGGGTTACATTGGTATAGATAGAGTACTTGGTTACATTGGTATAGATACAGTCCTGGGTTACATTGGTATATATACAGTACTGGGTTACATTGATATATATACGGTACTGGGTTACATTGGTATTTATACGGTACTGGGTTACATTGGTATATATACGGTACTGGGTTACATTGGTATAGATAGAGTACTGGGTTACATTGGTATAGAGAGAATACTGGATTACATTGGTATAGATAGAGTCCTGGGTTACATTGGTATATATACGGTACAGAGTAATATTGGTATATATACGGTACTGGGTTACATTGGTATAGATAGAGTACTGGGTTACATTGGTAAAGATAGAGTACTTGGTGACATTGGTATATATACGGTAATGGGTTACATTGGTGTAGATAGTCCTGGGTTACATTGGTGTAGGTACAGTACTGGGTTTCATTGGTATATATACGGTACTAGGTTACATTGGTATAATTACGGTACTGGGTAACATTGTTATGTGTACGGTACTGGTTTATATTGGTATATACACGGTAGTTGGTAACTGTACAAGTTAGGTGTTGACATTATCGAGCACCCTCGAGAACGTTGAACTTTTGGTGGCAACCATCGTCTCCAATCTTTCAACTTTCTATTTCATACAAACCATTCTCTTATCAACAAACTATCGATTTAATATTAGTCATGTTGACAAAGTATTGCAATTTTGTATACTCAGCAGATCATAGATCGTTTTCGCTGAATTATTGCAAAAAGTCCCAATAAAGTACCAAGTACCAGCAACCTGTATCAATCATGTCGTATATATCTCAATAAGTAAACTGTCTGTTATACACCATATACATCTCAGTAAATACCCTGTCCTATACACCGTATACATCTCAGTAAGTACCCTGACATGTTTACCGTATACATCGCAATAAGTACACTGTCAGCTTTACCGTATATATCTCAGTAAGTCCCCTTTATGATATTCCGTACACATCTCAGTAAATACCCTGTCCAACACACCGTATGCATCTCAGTAAGTACCCTGACATGTTTACCGTATATATCGCAATAAGTACACTGTCAGCTTTACCGTATATATCTCAGTAAGTCCCCTTTATGATATTCCGTACACATCTCAGTAAATACCCTGTCCAACACACCGTATGCATCTCAGTTAGTACCCTGACATGTTTACCGTATATATCGTAATAAGTACACTGTCAGCTTTACCGTATATATCTCAGTAAGCCCCTTTTATGATATACCGTACACATCTCAGTAATACCCTGTCCAATACACCAAACATTTCTCAGTAAGAACATTGACATGTTGACCGTATATCTCTTAATAAGTACACTGTCAGATTTACCGTATACGTCTGATTAAGTACAGTATACACATCTTAATACTTGTCAGCTTAACGATTGTTTTAGTTTAAAAAAACACACCAGTTAAAGCATTGGTTTCCTTTTAGAGAATGATTATGTGAAGGAGAAAAACTTAGTAAGACCACCAGACAACGTATGTAAAAGATCTGATATATTTTATTACTTTATATTTTACGAGTTGTTGGAGTACTCGAAGGTTTGTGCTATATTATTGAGACGTTGTCGAATATTTTGAAATAGCTTTAACTGCAGTCCAAACTTTGAAAACAATTCCGTCATTAAGGTATATCCGTGTATACATATATGTTAAATTCCGGTTTGATAATTCACAGAAAACCCAGACGAGGCAGTGATATTTTATTTTTGACTTAAATCTTAATTGTTTCATGACACTTTGTCCTGTCCGTTTTAGCTACAGGTCGACTTCGTAGATTTGGCTAGATTGTGGTTACTTTAAGCGACACAATGGCTTTAGATGCAAAATGAATTGTGGAGCCTTCAGTTAGAATGTCGTGTTGGCTTTAGCTACAAAATGGCCGTGTGTCTTATGTCAGAATGGCATGGTGATATTGGCTTGTATATGGAATGCCCTGATTATTTTAATTAGAATCTCGTGTTTGCTTCAGCTACTAAAATTGCCGTGTGCCATACGCCAGAATTTCATGGTGACATTGGCTACAATTTGGTTGTTTTGGCTGCAGAAAGTCGTGGTGACTTTAACTTCAGAATATTAGTTATAACATCACGTGGTATGTTGCCTAGAGCATGTGACCTTCAGTTGGTTTCGTAAAGGTTACCGGTGGACTGTGTATTTATCAAGATTTATCGAGAGAAATTAAATCCTTCGTACTATCTCAGACACAATATAACAACGTGTAGGTATAAATACTAATCAACTAACTCAAACAATAAGATATAAACAGGTGTATATATAGCGTTGTACTAGTGAGCACGTCTCGACAATTAACCCATGCTTCTACTTTGAACCCGAAGCCACGACGTACATCCTGCTTGATTAAGAAATTGCTATAATAGCCAGTATATTACCGTTACTTACTAATAGAACATTCATTTATAAATCATATAGATATAGAGAGAATTTATAGATCAAATAGATATAGAGAGAATTTCGATTTCAGAACCATTACCAACGCGAACATTTCTACACCGCCGTCAGTTTATAAACACAACGCGAACATTTCTACACCGCCGTCAGTTTAAAAACACAACGCGAACATTTCTACACCGCCGTCAGCTTAAAAACACAACGCGAACATTTCTACACCGCCGTCAGTTTAAAAACACAACGCGAACATTTCTACATCGCCATCAGTTTAAAAACACAGCGCGAACATTTCTACATCGCCATCAGTTTAAAAAACACAACGCGAACATTTCCACACGCGAAAAATTAGTATCCACTTTTATTGTACTTTGATCTTCACATACCAGTGTAGCTAGGGTACCTCGACTCGATGAATCGTTATATTAAATTCTGGTGAACATATCATTGACCCCGGCGTTCCTAGGGTACCACGACTTGACATACCGGGGTAGGGTACCACGTCTCGATTTACCGAGGAAGGGTATCAAGTCCAGACATACCGAGGTAGGGTATCACGTATTGACATACTAAGGTAGAGTACCACGACCTGACATACCGGGGTAAGGTAATACCTCCAGACATACCGAGGTCGGGTATCACGTTTTGACATACTGGGGTAGCCTAGGGTACCACAACCCGACATACCGTGGTAAGGTAATACGTATCGACATACCGATGTAAGGTACCACGTCCTGAAATGGGGTACCACGTATCAACATACTGAGGTAGGGCACCACATTTAGACATACCGAGGTAGGGTACCGCGTCTCGACATACCGAGGTAGGGTAATACGTCTCGACATACCGAGGTGGGGTAATATGTCTCGACATACTGAGGTAGGGTACCACGTCTAGACATACTGAGGTAGGGTATCATATCTTGACATACCGAGATACAATTGTAGGGTACCACGTCTCAGCATACCGAGGTAGGGTACTACGTCTCCACATACCGAGGTAGGGTACTACGTCTCCACATACCGAGGTATGGCACCACGTCTCGATATACGGAAGAAGGGTATCACGTTTCGATATCCCGAGGAATATCCCGTCCAATAGACCTAATATATGTGTAGGTGGGGTATAAGACTCGACATACGGCATAATACATTAGTACCAAATCCTACGCTGGTCAATCCGTTACATTGTTAGCGCGTTCCCACGCTCGATTTGTCGTATAGAAGACTGATAAGTATGTCTAAGATATATTATTAAATATGCAAACGCTGCACAATGGTTTGGAAATAAGTGGCTATGTCACGCCGGGGTACGTGTTTTGCATAGTTAAGCGCTGTACTTAGTGACAACGTATTAACGAGTATTGGCCTTGTACCGACCGCCCTATGTTGGTCTGTCCAGGAGAGCAGGAGGGCACCATTGATAAATAGAGAGCAAACATAATAGTCAATGCCACCCCGACCTCGACTTCTAGGGTAGGCGTTGAAAAATATTGATCTCTGTTATATTGGCACCAATGTATGGACACTGGAAATATTGACAACACATTTCAGCGATACTTTCACAAGAATTGCTACGACCCCTGGAAGACTCAGAACAGGGAAAGTAGGTAATCCTGGTACAAAATACATAGCCGCTCGCTTCCTGCCGATTCGGCTAGGGCGAATTGCTCTTTAGCTCGTTCGGTAGAGCGTAAGACTAGTAAATTAGAGGTCCCGGGTCTGACTCCTACCGGAAACATTGGACATATCAATGACCTCTGTTACATAATACTACATATTCAGTTGACTTGTCATATATGTAAATCCGAGCATGTGGAGTTCTACAAAAGAGTGAGGTGCACGTATTTTAGTTCGGACTTATTAATATTGTAATAGGGGGAGGTCCGGAGAGAGTTTTGCGTCCGTTGTCACTCCGTTAAATCCGTTTCGTGATCGTATAGTTTTTTGCAATGGTAACGAGTCGACAACTTCCCCTGCAGCCCTCTCTAGACCTCGCCTCTTTCGTCAGGTTACAGACCTGTTTTCACTAAAGGTTCGAACACTGGATGTAGTGGTAATACAAGCAATTGATTCAATAACTCAACAAGTAACTGTTTATTAACAAGACGGAATGAAAATGTACAACAAGTTTAACAAATACAAAGCATAGCATTAGTGCCAAACAATGACAACTAATGTTAAGAAACCCAATCCCTACGTATGTAGAGTAATGGCCTATCCTACCTAACAGTACTACCAGTAGACTACGACCACGTACTACTAGCTCCCTATAGATCTAGAGTGCATACTTGTACTGTAGTTCCTATAGCACTCTATATATCCCAGGAACGATTACTGTTAGTAGCACCTTGGCCTAGGTTGCACTGTTAGCAGCGCATGAAGCGGTAAGGTTTGCCTCACCTGAAGCTGTGGGTCGGTTCAAGACACTGATCCCCGCCCGGACCCGCTGTTTTATACCCCCTGCTCCCCCACCCAATAGCCTCGAAGATGAGTGATCAACTGTTAATCTCGAACCCAGCCTCACCATCTTAAAACATGTGAGCGAGGAGCGGGAACCTATTCCTGTTATTACTATCACCCACTTCCGGCCGTCTCAAAAGTGTAAACACACCGGTATCGTAGCAGCTGATCGCCAGGAATCCTACACTGAACGAAAAGCCCTACCCTAAATAAGGGTGAATAACACAGAAAGTAACAGAGCCCTGTCTCTAAATCATAAACAACAATTATACTTAACAAAGTAATACAAATGTGAGAAGTAAACAACCAACCTCACACAATATGTATGTTTGGATGATATGTAATTTTGATATGTTTTTTATATGACACGCGTCTTCTTCGACGCTATCCTCGAATATTCTTTAATTAATATTTAATGTTGACATTGTTTCGTTTCCAGAAAGAGACAAAATGAGTGACGACCAGCAACAGGAGCTTGTCAATCGAGTGAACTTTACTTTGGTGAGCGAGGACATATTGCACCAAGCGCTTGCTTCAGACTTTATTCCACCAGCGTACGTAGCAAAAGGCGCATTGGCTTTGTGTGCTCGTCTGAAGAAAGATCTAGAGGTGATGACAGCAACGGCATCGAAACAGGACGAAGAGCTCCGAAAATACAACTACAGCTACAAGAGAGGAAAAGTGACGACAACTCCTGCGCCCAGGTCGGCGTATAGCTCAGCCCCTCCCTATCAACGCGGGGGGCTCTCCGACACAGGTGAGGTTCGACGTAGCCTATACATTTAACAGCTCGTCCATGCTTAGTTTCGAAATTCGAAAGCCCAAGAAGCCAAGGACAATCGTTTTACCTAGAGTGAACATTTAGTGCGAGAACAAGTGACAATAGACAGTGAATTCGGTGTCCACTAGCACCATCCTCTCCTATGTACATGTACATACTGGTTCCTAATAACCCTAATGTGAATGTCGGAATAACTATACTTAACGATTAAGTTCCTTTTCGATTCTCTGTGATAGGGAATTGATTTTCACGACTCCGTAATGTATTCCATCATTCACGTATATATATATTCATGTTATTTACCAAATGTTCCAAGGCTAACACCTCCTTAATTAACAACATTTAAACTGTCAATTGTATGTAATACACGCCCCAAATTTTGCACGTGTTTCTTCTCTCCTAGATTACGAGCCGACGAAGGACAGCGACCCGCTAAAGGTACTAGACAGCATGCTAAGCGGTACGGACAGGCAGACAGACGAAGTCCTGGCGTCAGCAAGAAACAAGCTGGCTTCTGGTGCAGGTGCAGGGGTACCCTACAACTCCTTTCGGCCAGTACAATTAGGGGAGCACGACATCAGCTTCGAGGAGGAACTTGAGTTCAAATACGACCGTGCATTTCGGGCCATGGACAATTCTAGAGCCAAGCCTCGTTCTGGCGGATATGGTTACAGGTCATCATTCCGGTACTGATCTCCGAGTCTCGTGTCGACGAACTTTCAACAATTTCATCAACGAAAATGTAAAAGCATTTGTAAATTATATGCAGATTTCATGTTGGTGTATTTGACACTCTGAAAATGAACTAAGGATCCCCGTACCACTGCCGTATCTAGGCTTTATAAAGTGTTAGTTTGTCGGCATCAACAAAATATTATCAACAACAATGTTATGAATGTAAACAAATTTAGCTGGTCTAGACCGGATTCGAACCCTGGACTTTAGATTGTTATATACTATAACTCTAACTGACTGCGCTGTCTTGGCCCGTATTCATGAAACCGTTCTCATACTCAAACTCAGATTCTGTGCCCAAGCCAAAGTTCTTGTTCTGGCTATATAAACATACAAATCACTTGTTGTCAATGATTTGGAAGAGGTTTGGAGATACGGAAATCCGAATAGCGTTTTCAAAGTCACACATGACTTCTTGACAATGTTACTGACAAAATTTAAGCGAGTTACAAGAAAGTTAGCTTGAGAGCAGAATCCATACTAAGCACGAGATGGTTTCATGGATATGGGCCCTGGCCGTCTACGGAAGTGCTCTGGTCCAACTGTGCTGCTGTCATAAACAAAACGAAATCAAGGGGAGGTTACTGTATATATACGAAAAAACATAGTGCAGTGGGACAATCATTCTGAAGTTGAACGGTTGGAGATTTTGTTCATGCCCTCGTCTGTGTCTTACAAAACGTCACGTGGCATGTGAAAGAATATACTTATAGGATGTGTATCGAGGGGGAGGCAATGTACAATAGCTTAAGTTTAATTACACCTGTTGTCCTTGTCTTAAGAAGCTCTGTGAACTGATTTAGTCAAAGTATCAACCTGTTAATGTGGAGAGTTCCCACATTTTTCTACTCTATATAGACTTTGGTTTTTTTTTCTGTTAAATTTATGTTATTTCCTCTATATTCACGTGTGGAATATTCAAGGGAGTTGGAAAATTTTGAAATCTTTCCCAGTAATGTTACAGAAAAACATTAACAGAACAAATACGATCGAAGCTCGCGGTTTTATAGTTAAATTGTTCGGGGCTGTGTCACATGTGTGTTATATGTATCACTTTGAAATGACACGTGTCACTTGTGCGTTATATGTATCACTTTGACGTGACACGTGTCATTTGTATTATATATGTATCGCTTTGATGTGACACATTTCAAATGTGTTTTATGTATCACTTTGATGTGACACATGTCAAATGTGTATTATGTATCACTTTGACGTGACACGTGTTACTTGGATGTAATATGTATCACTTAAATTGAATCGTTTACAAACTGATTGCAAAACCATTGCTTTTATCCGGTTTTTATTAAGTTATCATTTAAATATTGAACCTGTATTGTTCAGTTCTAACTGTTATATAACGACAACATCAGTAGCTCAATTGTAACTCAGCGTTTCATTAGTGATGTCACATGAACGTGATATGAACGGAGTGTGGACATAACATATAGGACTGTGTTGATATGTTAATTTGTATACATTTTATATAGCTTGTCACCCAATATAACTTCGATGTGTTTCTTCTGAATAACAGCAACACACACAAAAAATCAAATGATTTTTGTGATGTTGAATAAGCACACTAATCAATATGGTGGAAGTCGTTACCTCTAGGACGAACTTATTTACAACATTCCATTTCTCTGTGTAGGTAGTCCTCGAACATAATTTGTAGATACATATAATACTTAAGTATTTCCGTGGTCCACCAGGTAACCTTATAAAACATGATATCCTGTGTATAGAATACCGGTATGTGTATCCCCAAATTACCTAGGTCATACGGAAATATCTTAATGTGTCTGATTGTTGCTAGGCTAGACATGTTGGGATGAACGGGAAATACCAGGGGATGTCGTGGGATGAACGGGAAAACCCCTAGTGGTTTTATCAGGGGATATAGTGGGATGTACCTGGACAAGGTTTTACACATATAACCAAATAGTTAATTCATTAAATTGTGATTTTTTTTTATCAACAGTAGTCTAATTAAACAAGTTTTTCCAACGTTACCAAGAGACTGTTCATGTTATTTTGTTCACAGGTGCCAGAAAGATTGATCTATAGTATTTTATATATCGATATGTCAGGCTTCTGTGATTTTGCTGTGATACATTGTTATCAATTATTTATTTTGAAATGTTAAAAGTGAATTAAATCATTCGTTACCCATTGTACCTGGTGTTTTGTTGTTTTTACTGGTGTTAGGGGCAAAAAGGGCGAATATCCTAACTGGTCTTAACTACTATTGAAACAGAAGGGGAGGTGCGTACATCCCTGTAATGATATACGTTTCAAAAACTGAAATAAGAGAACTGGTTAATATCTTATTACATGTAATAATAAGAAAAGTGAATGTATTATTAATCGTTCTGCCTCTCGGAGTTCGTAATTGTTTGTCGCTATCAATTTTATGACAAATTTCGGAGATTAAGAATTCCACCAGTATAATTTATCGCCTTATATCGCGAAGTATACAGTATGCCACCTCTTCGTCTTTCTAGGTCTCATCGGTGAGGCAAGGGGCCAAAACGTGGAAATCAAAATCGGTCTTAATAATAATAATAATATACAACATTTATATAGCGCCCTATATAATTTGTAAAATTACTCTAAAGCGCTTTAATAAATAGATAATGTGCGTAAAACCCCTTAATTACATGGATTAAAAAAATGTGTAGTACTGTTGACGTCAATTTCAAATAACTATCGGGGAGTATAACAAGAGGCCCAGAGGGCCTGTATCGCTCACCTGGATACCTAAGCAATCATGGCAAACAATTCTCCAAATGAGATAAAGGGAATATGCCAGACCCCAAGGCCAATCCTTGTAGCATAGCTATATTAGATTGTCATGCCCAGTAATTTTGTGTATGGTTATGGGGTGGGGATCTCAACTGTTTCCAAGCTTTGACTCAGAAACTAGGTCCCAAGAGTTGTGGCCAGACCCCAGGATCGATTCTAATATCGTGACTGCATTTGTCTCTTTTTGCCAAGCATTTGTATATATAGTTTTGGGGTGGGGATCTCAACCGTTTCAAAGTTATGACCCAGGGGCCAAGTCTGCAAGGGTGGGGCAGACCCTGGGATCAATTCTAATGTCATGACTGCATTCGTCTCTTTATGCCCAACAATTGTATATATAGTTTTGG